CACTTCAAAATACCCATTTGGCAAAACCACAATGTATGTAAAATTCAACTCTCCCAAATACTCTGCACCTGCAGTCCTCAACCTGAACAGTGCTGGAGAAAAACAGAACCACAATGGCTTATCTAACTTTAAGCTCATGAACCTTTACCTCAAATGGGCCCTTAACACTGTCAGGCAATCAGACCATGCATGACCTTCTTTGTCCATTCACTCTCTTTCTCCTTGGACAACTCTTTCATTCCCTCTGCTCTTTCCTCAACCTCCACATGTCCTTTTCCATATTCATTCTCAACTAATGCTACTGATTTCCATAGAGAAAAAGTAAACTATCAGAAAAGATCTTCCACAGATTCTCACCACATGAATTCCTTCTCAGCATATGCATCCATATGGGAAACATCCTGTGTTTTTGGACATACCTTTCCCCATGCTCCTATCTAAAGTCAACCTCTCCTCTTGGTTAATAGAACCCATCTTCTCTTTCTCCTGTTTCATCTTATTTCTCCTTTAAAGAAATTCCTTCAAAAGGTAGTTTATATTTGCTCTAAGTCCTCTCTTCTCATTCTTTCTTAAACCTACTATGTTGGGCTTTTGCCCCATCAATTCTAACCAAATCACTCTTCTCATGGTCAGCAGTGACCTCCACATTGTTAAATCCACTAGTCAATTCTAACTTAGTGCTTGTCCTACTCAAGTTATCAGCTCCATTTGACAGAGTTGATCACTTCCTCCTCCTTCTTAATAACTTTCTTCACCCAAATTCAGAACACAACGCTCACCAAAAGATTTCCTCCTACTTTGCTTCTTCTCGGACTCCTTTGTTGCTATTTCCTTTTATTACCTCTTTCATCAAGTTCAGGTTTTGGTCCTCTGTCTACACTTCCTCCATATCACCCGTAGGGAAAATGAATTCACTCAGGCTCCCTCACCGGACATCCGGTTCCTAGTGACTCAGCTGTACCATCCCACATGCACAGTACCCATGTAGTGTTATATAAGCATGACTTGCACCACACAAGAGTACTGGTTAGCTCCTATCATAGTTGGCTAGATGCCAGCTTTATTTGCCTTGATATATAAGGCAGATGGGACTTTCCACCATGGCTGCCAGTGAAGGCTGTGTACTCCTCCACAATAAAGGCATGTCAGAAATACCTACAGTTCCGAGAGTGTTCTTCAGTGTGCCCAAATCTGTGAACCTGCCAGGCCTTGAGCGCTTGCAATACATCACCTATATTTCAGTGATGTTCACATTTTTATCTTCAGACTGAACCTTCAGCTGTCTGCTTGACACATCTATTCAGATATCCACCAGGCATCTCAAACTTAAAATGAACTCCTGATATTTCTCTCTGTTCACCAAATCTGTTCTCAGGACCTCTCCCAGGTCAGATGATAATTAAAACCATTCTTACAATTGTTTAGATAAAAACCCTGCAGTTTTCTTTAATTCTCTTTTTCTCATACACTGCATCTACTCCACCATGAAATCCTGTAGGCTCTAACTTAAAAAAGTGTGTCCAACATCCATTAATTTCTCTTCACCTCCACTGCTTCACCTTTGAACTGAGGTGCCTTCCTCTCTTATCCTACTACAATGCTACGATAGCCTTCTAACTGGCCTCCCTGCATGCCCTCTTATCCCCCTTCTCCAGTCCAGTCTCAACACAATAGTTGAAGTAATTCTCATAAAATAGAAGTGACATCATGTTACTCTTCTGAAAGATGTGAATTGGCTCCCATTTCACTCTGAGTAAAGCCAAAGTCCTTAAAATGACGTATATTAGGTCCTACATGACCCATCCCTCTCTTCCTCCTCATCTAAGAATACTCTGTATTTTAAAGGATGGCAGTCAGATTTGACTCATCTGTTTAAGAAACTTTAGAGCCTTCCTTGAATTCTTCTCCCTCACCATCATATATCTGATCAGTTGCCATGACCAACTGAGTACTCTTTCGTTGTCTCTCTCAAATCTATTTATATTTTCCATTGCTGATGACATGGCTGCTCCCCACCTCCAATCTTACCTCATCTCGAATCCATCCACTACATATTAATACTAGGGTGATCTTTCTAGTTAAATGCAAACTTTTCATATCATTCCCAAGTCTGTCCACTTCCAAAGGTCTCCCCCTTTAACCATCTTTTTTGGTGATTCTTAAGTTGATACTTGGATTACATAATATACTGCCTAACAAGTAGGAAGCTTTAATTATAATTTGGGCTACTTTTGAAATGGTTCTCTGTTATAATAAATTTATTGGGTCACTTATTCAAAGTGTTTTGCAGCATAAGGTTGTATTGGTCTTTTTTGTATTCACACTTGACACTTTGCTCAAGATTAATTTTTTGTGCATGCAATCATTTATAAAATAAATGGTAGATTTATCCATTAATTTAGATTACACTTTTAAGTCAAGAAAAGGTCAGCTATATCAGCATGAGTACAGACCTATGTTAGGCTCTTCTTATCTTAAAATTACTATAGATTTTAAACAATAATAATATTAAAGAAGAAAAGTAATATTAAACAATGATGACAATATTGAAGAAGAATATTAATTTTCATAGTTTACAAAATGCTTCACATTTTAAGTAAGCTCATTGATTACTACAACTACCTGCAGAGTAGATACTGCTTCCCCCTTTCAGAGAAGCAAATTAAAAGATCAGAGAAGTTAAGTGATTTGATGGAAAATACCTAGCAAATCAGTGACAGAACTGACTCAGGAACTCATTCTCTTTCAATATCTACCATGTTGTAAAGCCTTTATGTGCAAGTTCTTAAATACAAAGTATATATAACAAACCATCTAGGTGTAAGACAATGAAATCCTACTTTTCTAGGTAGACAAATTCCTAAGTTAAAAATTTTACTTGTGAAATTTAAAGTTTTACTTTTTCATGTAAAACAAATCAGCATTGTCCTTCTACATTATTATTAAATATCGGTCTATTCTAAAAATTTTGAAATAACATGGAGGTGACGTGCTACATTTGGAAAGCATAGTAACATGCTATTTGAAACCACTTCAATTGTTAAAAGGTTAAATTCTGGTTCTGTTTAAAGGTCAGAACTGAAAATATCCTGATGATTACTATTTCTCCACACATTTTGGATGGCACCGCTAAAGTCCTGGTGGCAATAAAACATGTGCTCTTATCCTCTCCCTCCGGTGGTCACGGTAGAGAGAGGACACCAGGGGTCTGGGAGTAGACCCATAACTTCTCTTGGTTTTAATTTAAAAACTAATTAATAAATAATATTTCTATCTATCCCAAAGGATTATCAAAAATTTTTTAAAAGTTAATCATCCGAAAAACTCGAGTGCACTAAACAAAATAAAGCTGAGATTTTCCTAAAGGCAATAATCAGAGTACTTGTCATTCTCTTCTTCTTCGGATTTTAAATCTAGAACTAGTCATTTACAAGTATTTACTGAGTAATAATTACATTCTTAGAATTCTTTCCGGTATCCACATATGACTTTAATTTACAAATCATATCCCATGTCTCCTCTTCCACAAACTTGCATCTGGTGCATAGCAGATACATAATAAATGCTCATGCTCACTGAATGAATGCTAGGCTTCATGCAGACTTCAGAGAATTATGTGAATATCATAATGACAACTACACATAAGTTACTAACATTTATTGAACCCTATGTGCCAGACTCTGTTATTCATTCCACATGCAGAGGGTAACTTAACCTAATTAATTAATTGTTAATTTAATTCTGTAGATAAGAAAGCTGAGGCATAATGAGATTAAGTCTCATAGCTGGGTAAGAGGTTCTGCCTCTTAGCTGGTAATCAAACTTATGCAGCCTGACTTTAGGTGCCTACAATGTGTCAGGGACCCATTCATTTTTGCTTACAATTATAGAAAGAGGAGAGAATACAATAAATATGTAAATAAGGGAGCAATATAATTTTACATAGTAAATAAGGCTATGGCAAAAAAAAGGATGACTTGATAAAAGTGACCAGAGCAATGTAGAAAAATAGTTAAGAACATGGATTTTACCACAAAGTTTTAATCCTAGCTTTGTCATTAGGGCTTTTATTTAGTTATATATCCTTCTTCTGTTTTTTCTTGTCTGCAAATAATAATACTTAATTCATATAATGGTAATGAGGTATAAATGAGTTAATATACATAAAATACCTAAAACAGTGTATGACATATAGTGTTATTTAAATATTTGCTTAAATGTTTACTTCTTATCATATTAAAATATTAAAGTATTAAATATTAAGTATCTAAAATTTTATAAATCAAATTTAATATTTAAAACATTAAATATTAAAAATATTTAAGCATTTGCTTAATATTAATTATTTATTATTATTATTCTCCTTTTTGCATCTTTGTTATTATACTTATCACCATATGGAGGGCTCTACTTAACTGTGGTGTTCTTGGAAGACCTTTATGAGAAAGTTCATTTGAACCAAAACCCAAATGACATTTAGCCACATGAAAATTTGACGACAGATTCCAGGCAACAAAGTATTATAAAAGCCCAGGGCCAGAACATAGCATTTTTCCTCACACTCCTCCTCTCCAAGTTCACTTTTGTTTGAGTAGATTGAAAGCTCATTTAGGCCACTGTCCAACTCAGTCTTACCAGACAAACTTGATACAGATTCTCTAGCCTCAAAGCAGCTATTAATAAAATCGTGTATATGAGTGAGTTTATACCACTGTGTGGAGAGGGGTAAATAGCGATGGAAGAAAAGCATTCCTAGGTCTCTGGTTATTTTACTACCATATAGCATGAAATCACCATCTTTAATAGCTAACCACTGAAAGGCCATTAATGTATTCAAAAAGAATATCATACCCGCACTGATAAAAATGGTAAGGCTCCACATTGCCACACATGTAGGTGAACAAAAAACACAATGCGATTTATATGAAGATTCCTCTAACTCATAAAGGCTGTAGTTTTAAAAAGTCAAAAATACAGCTGCATAAAGTGAACTGCTTTACCTGTATGGCCAGTTCCCTCGTTCTTGACTTCTGTGGTTGCCACAGAAGAGGTGGGTGGACTAACAGGAGGGCTGGAAGTAAAGCTTGTACACCCTGTAGATGTGCTGATTTCGAAATATTCTTGGTTGTGATTCATTCGATGAAAATCCAGAGAAGACACAATAGATGTTCGTTGTTTAGGCTAAAATAAATGAGCGTGATGAGAGTATTAATATGATCATGTTCATCTTTAGGCCAATCTCCCCATCAATTTAATCTAAGTGATTATTTTTTCAACACTATCTAGGTTTTTAGACATAAAATACTGTGCTTTACAGAGAGACACTAAATAATCCCTTGATTAATTAATGAAAAAGTTGTTTAAAGAAAAAATATTATGGCATAGTTGATAAAATAATTTAATTTTTTTGTTAGATTCTCCCAGAACACTGCAAAAATAGTGCACAGAATTTCTCTTAATGATCAATTCAGAAAGTTGCAATTTTAAGTCACCTTTCATTCAACTAACATTTATTAAACATTTGGCATTTGCCAGACCCTGAGGGTATAGAAACTAATAATAAAAGGGCCCCTACAACCCTGAAGCTTAATTAAGGCAGTTCCATTGTTTGATTCTCTATATAGTCTGAGGAATTGGTGGCATTCAATATTGTCTCCAAGTACCATATGCTGAAATTTAACCATTAGAATTAAGTAAAGTTATATAGAACATCTTCCAGGAACTAAGAGTCTACTTGATATTTGTAGTGAACTTTGATTTTCTTTTTTAAGGATTTTAACTAATCCCCAAATAGCAAGAGAAGTCAATTTAAACATAAAAGGTAAAACCATGGAGTAACACCAGAAATAATCTATACCCTTTGTCAGTAATGCATTGTTCCCTGTAGCAGTTTTCTGGGTTTTTCCATAGTTTTAATTCTATTCACTTTTTTTCCTGCCTAGCAGAACTTCTAACATAATTTTTCAGAAAAATTATAGTCTTTTTGGCTCTCCAGATTGTGTACACTTCCCAAGAATTAATCTAATTTTTTTTACTTTTTATCCTCCTTACTCATATTAATGAAAAATCAACAATCTCTTGTAACAATTAACAAGAGACTAACTACCATCTTTGTATAATACAGTGTTTAGTACTTTACTTTCCCCAAAGTACAATAAACTTTTGGTTTACTAACACTTTCATCACCCTCAAATACTTGCTAATTTAATCACTGAACTCCACAATTATTTTCCAGCAAAATATTCAAGTTACCCTGTCTCTTCCAGCTCATCATGTTTTTTTTTAAAAAGATATCACTCAGTCTATAATCTAAAATAGAAAATGATACTGAAAATGTCTGTATATTACAGAGTTTTTTACATAAGAGGTAAAAAATATCACAATATGCTTTATATTTTTAGCACTGCAGTATTTATATGGAAGAAGTTGAGAGGCATAAATATTGTTATATAAAAGACCGTTAGTCATTTATTATATTATATATTATATAAACTCATAATAAAATTCCAGTTGGTACCCACATAGGACACAGTTGTTTCTGAGGTATGAAAGATTAGGGTTCAAAGCCAGGCTTGATTTATCATGAAATGTCTGTCCTTGGAGCTACTGAATCTCAATTTCACATTCAATGTTCTTTCCACTAGACTACATAACAGCAATTAAAAGGCATGAAATATGACACTGGCTCCAATGGAAACAGGTATGTCCATCATCCTGGTTTTATTTTATCGTACTATGTTTTGCTTTTGTTTTACTTTGTATATAGGCAATGGACTAAATTTAAATAATGTTTCTTACAAACTTTATAAGGATCAAGCCAACTGACACATGTGACTCCTTTACTTCTAAATATTTCTTAAATATATGTTCCTGAACCCTGACCACCTAGCATTTAAATACATTAAGAGCACAATTCATTATGAAATCATGAAAGCAAATAAGCTGTTTTTTCTGCATTAAGTCATTCAACAAATATTTGCTGAGTGTATACTAAATTGAACATAGGGTGTATATGTCTTTTTTAGTGTTTTCATTTTCTTTGGCTAAATACCCAGGAGTGGGTACAGCTGGGTCATATAGTAGTTCTATTTTTAATTTTTGGAGGAACCTCCATACATCTTCTATGCACCAATTTACATTTCCACCAGCACTTCACAAAGGTTCCATTTCTTCATATCCTTGCTGACACTTGTTATTAGTTGTCTTCTTGATAATGGCCATTCTGACAGGAGTGAGTAATATCTTAATGTGGTTTTGATTTTTTAATATTTTATTTTGCATCCTGTGAACTTGTTGAATTCACTTATTAGTTGTAGAAGGTTTTTTTTTTTGTAGATTTCTTGGGATTTCCTACATAGACAATTAAGTCATCTGCAAGCAAGAACATTTGTATTTCTTCCTTTCCAATCTGTATGGCTTTTACTCCCCCCACCCCCACTTTTTTCTTCATTGCGCAGGTTAGAACAACAGTGGTGACGAGAGCAGACATCCTTACCTTCTTTCCAATCTTAGGAGGAAAACAGTCAAAATTTCACCTTTAAGTATAATGCCAGCTGTAGAGTTCTGGTGGATGCTCTTTACCAAGTTGAGGAAGTTCTCTTCTATTTCTATTCTTCTGAGAGTTTTTTTTAATCATGAAAAGGATCTTGAACTTCTTGAATGCTTTTTCTGCTTCAATTAATATGGTCATGTGGTTTTATTTTTAAATTAATTTTCAAACATTGATCCAATCTCATATCCCTAGAATAAACTGTGCTTGGTCATAATGTATTAATAATTCTTTGTATATATTGTTCAGTTCTATTTAGTAATATTTTGTTAAGAAATTCTGTGTCTGTATTCATGAGGGATATTGCACTATAGATTTTGCTTTTTCTGTTGTTGGGGTTTTTTTGTTTGTTTTCTTGCTTTTGTTTATTTTTATGTACTGTCTGGCTTTGGTATCAAAGGAATACTAGATGGCTTCATAAAATGAGTTGGGAAATATTTCCCCCTCTTCTGTTTCAGGAAAAGATTGTTTACAACTAGAATCAATCCTTCTTTAAATGTTTGTTATAGTTCTCCAGCAAAACCATGCAAACTTGGAGATTTTTTTTTAATATTTTAAACTTATGAATTCAATTTCCTCAGCAGTTATAGGACCATTCACATTATCTTCTCAATACTGGATGAATTATTATAGTTTATGTTTTAAGAAAAATTGGTTCATTGAAGCTAAGTTGTCAAATTTATTTAGGTAGAGTGTTTTGTAATATTCCTTTATTAACATTTTGATGTCTACAGTCTGTCATGATATTCATTTCATCCCTGATAAAGGTAAATTTGTATCTTCCTCTCTTTTTTCAATTTCAGTGTAAGAATAACAGGAGGTAATTATATAATAATTTACAGAAGTTATGTTCTGAGTAGTCAAAATAGGAAGTATATATCACTGTGTGTATGAGAGAAGAAAATCTTTTGCAAATAAAGATGTAGTGAACCTATCAAAAGTTATTCTGCTTTCTAGTCCTTAATTTACATCATCACTTTACGAATAATAGCTCTCATTAAATACATGTTGTGACAGGTATCTTACATATATTTTCTTCTGTAAACACCACAACAGTTCTGCCGAAGTGAATATTATTCACCACATTTTACAGATGGGGAAATTGAAACTTCTCAGAGGATACTCAGTAACTTTCAAAGACAGTTTTAGAATCTGGCTCTCTCAACATTTGAATGCAATACATATGCTTCATATTTGCACCATGCTGTGTTTTCTCTATAATTACCCAAAATGTCTTTCTATACAATAAGAATAACAATGCTTTTGTTTGTTTGGTAAGAAAATGATAGCTTAAAAGAACGTTTCTCCCAGGATATTTGTAAAAGCAATTGCCATGAGGGTTATTACCAAGAAGTAAATGACAGATGAAAGAAGTTAAGATTTCAACCAGAAATATGTGGTAAAACAAGTTTTTACATGGATGAATTTAAGACAACATGAAGTTTTAAGAGTAAGTATACAGAATTTCCCTCAGAAAAAAACATAATCAATGTCAAAGTAATTTATATCATAAGATGACAGAGTTTTTTTAAGAAGCATTTAAATTAATTTTAGCTAACAATTTCAACTCCTTTTTTCACTAAGTATTTTTAAAAACATTTATCAAAATGCACCTTAATAAAAGTTTTTTCTTTTCTCCCTGTCCCACCTCTAGCAAGGGAATATTCAAAAGACTGATAGGAAGGAGTATATGGATATAAAGCAAATTAAAAAAAAACATAAACTGTGTAACCAATTTATAAATAATCTAGAATTGGCAGGATTTATATATAAACTTTGCTTACAGTTCCTTTAAAGAAACAAAATCATTAAATTCTGAAACAGCCTCTAACTGTAAAATCTCTTCCCTCATCTCCATATCAATGAGCGTATTGAGCACTCAATTTATTAGTGTCCTAAATGCAAAAGCACCTGTCTGTTTCCTGTTGGTTCCTAGGGGTAAAATTTATCAACACCTATTAGCAAGACAATGGGATTTGGAGCAAGACAGAACTGGATTCAAATCTTAGTGTTGGTACTTACAGTTCAGTATTTGCACCTGTAAATGGGGATAATACAAACTTCCTGTAAAATTACTGTCAGAATAATGAGATAATGTAATGAAGCACTAGGTTAATGCCTACTTCAGAGTAAAGGATTGATAAATATTTGTTGTCTTCCATAGATGGAACTTGATTAAAAGAAGATATTGATTAAGTTAAAACATAACACAGATCTCCTGATACCTGGCAGAATAACTAAATCAAATGGAGAAGACAGTGGCAGGACCCCAGTGATACACTGACATTTGCAGAGTGAGAGTTGAAAGGAAAGATGGAATCTGTCAGATTGGAAGAAAACATGGCACACAGACTTATTTTACCAGCATTTAAAACAGCTGCCCTGGAAATTGTAATAACTGCCTAAAGCAGAAAGCTGTCAGGAGGAAGGGTCTCTGATGGGAAGTAAGAGGCAGAGACTGTGGTAGAATCTCTCAGAAGAGCCACCCACCCTAATTTGGAGAAATGAGGGCTCAAGGCCATGATGGATCATGGAGCTGGGGAGAAATTAATCCCAAATAATCTATTACTCCGCTGTAGATAAGTAATTTTAGAAAACATGGTATTAGGAGATCCAGGAGTGGTGGTGACTT